CCGCCACAAATAAATCAATGTATGGGAAACACTGCATTATTAATTTGTGCCTCTACTGTCAGTGGGAGAAACTCCCTCTGGAGGGAACGACGGGATCTTAGCCTTTGCAGACCATTCACATGCACTAAAACCTATAGAACACTACAGGGAAGGGAAACCCCCAGAAAGCACAACATGTCCTCCCTTATTCTTGTGTTACAAGGAAGTAAGCCATGATGACAGAAATGTTTCCGGCCCGTTCTCTCTGTACCTGGGTCGACGAGCTTCTCGGCCATGTGGTCCAGGCTGCTGATCTCCTCCTCCTGCGGGGCGTGGATCACCATGGTGGTGGAGCCCAGGATGCTGAGGAGGCAGCCCAGCTTCCCGTGGAGGTTCAACCGCTCCGTCAGGAAGTAGGAGGACAGCACCGCACTGCAAACACAGTACAGGACACAGTCAGTACAGGACAGTCAGTACAGGACAGTCAGTACAGGACAGTCAGTACAGGACACAGTCAGTACAGGACACAGTCAGTACAGGACACAGTCAGTACAGGACAGTCAGGACAGGACAGTCAGTACAGGACACACATCCATTTACTAATATGTAAAAAAGTTACTTTACACATGGTTTTAGGTTGCGGTCGCATAGTCTTTTTTCTATCAGGAAGGTTCCTAAAGGTGTGAAATGACCCGGAAATGTCTTGATAAGAGCTGTTTGGATTCTCTAGAAGATGATAAAGGAAGCATTGAAGCTCCTTCCCTATCATCTCCTTTAGGAAACACTTGACCTTCCTTTACGAAAGGAGAAAACGGGGTCCCACAATTCCTTGCCTCACATGTTTGAATGGTGGCCTAACAGGCTTGTAGTTGTATTTATTTAAATAGTTTCATACATTCATAATAATTGGGATTCATGTGGATTAATCCAACCGGACACAAGTGTGATCAAACAATTCCTTGGCAATGAAGAATATATTTGTTACCGATGTCCATGTTTATAAAGCTTGCAACAGGATAAAAAACACACAAAGTATCTAGATGTTTTTAGTCCATCTATGTGAAACTGTAGTTTCTCTACGCTCGACTCAGTAACATCCTCATCATAATGACGTCACAGTGTCAGTGCATCTCTTTCCTCTGATCATCTTTCCTTAACCCCTGGACATTTCTCACTGAAGCAGAAGAGGTTAGGAAAACACACAGGACCTGATTTTTTTCCTGCAGAGGTATCTTTACCTGACGAGCACGCTGAGCGCTCCCAGCGGGGTCACCAGGGTCGCCGGAGCGAAGGCGTACGCTGCAAAGTTCGCTGCTTCACCGGCTCCCACTGAGAGATATGACAAACACTCAGTAAGACACATGGTGTAATGAAAGGCAGGCTGAGGTTCATGTGTTCAAACAGTAATAAGTATGAAAGACGTGATCACGGGTGGAGTAATTTGCAGGTAAACTACGTAACAATACATACCAGAAGTGTGAGGTCAACTGGGTCAAAGATACATATAATGGTTTAACAACAATTGATTAAAAGTAAGGTCCTCCCACTAGTGCTGGAACCAAGATACTTTTTAATATAGTCTAATTTGGTGAAAGATATCTCTCATATGATTTAAAATAAAGAAAAACAGCAAATCTTCATACTTGAGGGGCTGAAATATGCTGTTGATTCAATTAAGTCCTTTTTAAAAAGGCCTTGAATTCACAAAAAGGTGAAAACTATCCGTTCAACCAACTTGAACCCAGTTTGAATCTCCTTGCCTAAACATCCTTTAACTAACCGGCTCCTATCTGATCACAGTTTGGACCTCCTGCGTGTTTTCACTTACTTGATAATAAACCGGCCCACCACAGCCACTCCTTCAGATATGCATGACCCCCCTGGCCTGAAGAACAAAAGCATATATTAAGAACATTTGAATCTATTCATTTGAATAACATTTGCATGTTAACAAAACATGTAGTCAATAAATACACAACATGCAGCAGCTGCAGAGGGTCAGGTGATCAAACATCAGCTGACCTTCATATAAACCCTTCATATAGAACATTTAAAAACGCCAATTTAGTTGAGCTCAAATTAAAGTAAATACATTTGAGTTATTGAACTTTCATTGAATCACCAAAAAAAATGCCCTTTCAAATAAAAGACTTCTATAGGCCTGTATATCCCCCTTTCAAATATCATGTGAATTTATTGACCCCTCCCGTAAATAAGACAACTTTAAAAACGGTAAGGTATTAATATTACAACTAATACAAATGTCAGGGGCTCATTTTATTATTGAAGCTTAAAACATACGTTTACAAATATTTGCATGATGTATGTTTGGTTATTTTATTTTAATATTGCTGTGTTTATTTATTCTTTTTTTGACTTTGTAGAAGGACTTTCTAACATTGCATTCAAAAGTGCTATATACATAAATATATTCTTATTATAATTGTTTTTAAATCCTCCCAAACTTTTCGTGGAAAGTTTCTGAAAAAGGTAATGTACTTTGAACCAGAACCTTCTATAAGACTGAGTATCTTTTATGGACTTTACCCTAAAAAAAAGGTTTTTATACGAAGTTGTTAATTATTTCCTCCAGCTTAACTTCCCTGTGAAAGCTTCCTGATGCACAAAAACACACACCATTCAGAGTAAAACTAAGAAAACCTGAAACGTAGGTGAAGTGTTTTCTCCAGGTGTGCCTCTACCTGTTCAGCTACTTATCAGTTGCTTAACTGCAGCAGGGAGTGCCTTCACTGCTCTGACAGGTTGTCGTTCCTTGTTTTTAGGTTATTTGTGAGGTGCATCAGTTCCCCAGTAAAGGTCAGTACCTGCTCGCATGGCTCCTTTCCTGGCCAGCCGCAGAAGTCCTTTCTTCTTCAGGATGAAACTTCCTCCGATGAAGATGCTGGAGCTGACGGCCAACCCCAGGCCGATGTAGAAATCATACTTCCCCCGGTCCTCACCCATAGTGAGGCTGGTTGTGTTGGTGTGGTCTGTCACATCTACGAGCAAACAGTGCAGGTGCTTGCCTAAATGACAGTCCCGTCCAGCCCACACACCTGAGAGCAGACACAAAGTTAGACATGACATTTATAAACAGCTGCTGTGGGGTATAAAAGTCCAAAAGAGAAATGTTGACAGCCAAGACCTACCGTCTCCACAGGTGATATTACAAAAGTCATCCACCATGATTTGACGTTTGGTATTAATCCATCAGAGTAACTTTTACAACTAACTAGTTTCAATGTCAGCTTATCCCATACTAGAAATCGATGATTGAATGCCAGCAGGTTGAGAGGGTGTTGTGCCAAAAAAGCCTCGTGAAACTTAGTCAGCTGCTGTGTCAATAAAAACCTTTCCAACAGAGGAATTCAGGGAGTGACACCTCTGAGGTTAACCTGAGCACGCTCTGTGCTAAGCTAAGATACAACGAGGAACTACATTTGTTAATGCAGCTCGACAGTGCTTTGCAACACTGATCTTAAAAGTGGGGTTTCATATCATAAGATACAAAAGGCTAGATAAATAGATAGTTACAAGGCTATGAATAATGAAGGATAAAAATGATAACCCTTGAAAACTAAAAAAGGTATATATGAATAGATAATATAAAAATAAAAATACATTTAAAAATAAAAGAATGTGTAACATTAAAAGGGAAAATAGAACTCTGATTGATAATGATACAAATAATAGAATAAAAATAAAATTTTAAATATAATGGGAAGTATACTGCATTGATTATTTATAATTTAAAAAATAAACAATAATAACAAAGTGAAAAAAATAATATATAATATACAATATAAAAATAAACGTAATACAAATAAGAAAAACAATTAAGTAAAAAAACAACAATTAAAATACATACATTTCAAAAGAAGTGCACTGCAGTTCGTAAGTGCGAAGCAAAGTGCCAAAACACAGTTATAAGGCCTCTATTAAAAAAAGTCATAGGTAACTAAAGGCACATTTTATTAAATACTATTAGCTTAGCTTAGTAGCCTGGTATCTGATAGTATGTGATCTGGTTTGTTCCGTAGCATTTGGGCGTAATTAACAAAGGCAACATCCGCGATCTTATTTCGGCTGTTAATTAAATACACCGGCAGTAAACAGCCTATTTCCTTAACAACACTGTCATCAAATGTCAGAACACTATTCACATTGAAAGGGCCATTATTGTGGGGCCAAAGCATTCCATTTTCATCCAAATATAAGCATGCATTACGAGTATTTCCCTCGATAGCCACATTAGCTTGTATTAGCTCGACGGCAAACTAATTGGCTGGCTAGCGAAGTCAGTTGGCGTCAAGTTAAATACAAATAACCCAGCTATTGGTTATTTGTTTGGTTAAATAAGTTAAATAGGAAATAATGGAAGTACATCACCTGTCCAAAAGGTAGCTGCCTGCTGGTTTCCCCACAACAAGAGCAAAGTGGAATAGCTAGCAGATTAGCTGATAGCTAGCCTACTTCCGGCTTCTGATGCTCCACATCTCAAGGTTCATCAGAAGGAGATCCGCTGAACGACTGCCGCACTGAGAGCTTCTTCTTCTGCTTATCAGAGCAGCAGAGCCCGCTGAACTGATGAGCCCTCCGGAGGTTGAAGTCCAGAAGCACACTGATACTACAAACACTCATAGTATTTACCATGAGTCATCTTTATTGTTGTCATTAGGTGATTCATATTATCTATACAAAAATAGACAAATAATGTGCAAAGCAGCTGTTTTAAAACACAATGCATCTAGATGTTATGATTACTTATAATTACTCGTAAAGATAAGTAAATAAACAACATTCAATTGTCTCTTTACATCTTATATAACAGTACTTAATGTTTTACACATGTTAATTCAACATAATATAGATTTTATTACAGTGCAATTAAGAACATCCCTTTAGTTTATTGCCTTATTAATTATAAATATTTTAATGTGCATTTTTGGATAATTGTTAAGGATCAACATAAATCACTACCACTACTTCTATTCTCCACTTTACAATAATACAGCACAATCTGTAGTAAAATCCTTGTTTATTCAAAAGCGTGTACATTATTACAAATAATGGACAACAGCATTTGTGAACAACTGGTGAGGAGTTAAAACGAATACTTTAATGAAAGTATGAGTCCCATATATTTTTTTAAACTACATGTATAGTAATCTGTATTAGTAAAATTGAAGTACAACTACATTTAAACGCGTGTTTTTTAAACTTTTATAACAAATAGTAGAAATGAATGTAAACATATTTTTTAAATACATTGTCCATAATCAAATTAATCAACAATTAATTGACATCACATCACAGTTACCACGTTAAATAATAAATAAATAAAAAGTTTATATTTGGTATATCAGACATAGAGATAATTCAGTCATTGTTCAAACTCGTCTTCACAGCTCCTGGACTAAAGAGGCTGCTTCTTAAGTTACACTGAATAATTCACAGGCTCACTGAATAAGTTAAAGTGTCGGTCATATAGTCTTTCATTGGAGGAACTTTTAAAGAGCTTATTCAATTAAACAGAATTATTTTAAGTTTCTATTTAACAGGTTGCATCTGTCCGTTAAGCCTCTTGTACCTATTTGCAAATAGGCAAAATATAACATGGGAAATTAACTGTTACCCAGGTGTTATTTAAAGAGGACATAGTATGCTCGAGTTCAGGCTGATATAAGTATTCATACTACCTCTTTTCACCCTCTGTCTGAAACCAGAGCCCAGTCTGCTCTGATTGGTTGGAGAGGAAGTTTGGGATTTTAGCCTTTGCAGACCATTTACATGCACAAAAACCTATAAAACACACTACAGGAAACGGAAACCCCCAAAAGCATAGTTGGGCCTCTTTAATTAATTATAGGTTACACAGTAATTGAGAACTTTCCATAAGAAACTGCAAGAGATTCAAGTTAAATGTTAAGTCAAGGTAGTTATAAATTGTTCATTTAAACTGAGTTTTGACCAATCAAGTATGTTATGAGGAATGCTACCTGCATGGATGGAATACTTAATGTGTCATAACGGCCTGTAAACATAAATCATCTCCATCAGTCCGCCTTCTTCTTCCAGGTGACCTCGGCCTCCTGTGAGATGCGCAGCAGAGCGACTCCGACACACACCGTGGTGAGAGCGCAGAGCAGGGCCAGGCTGTGTGTGGCCGTCAGAGCCGTCCACTCCTTAAACAGCAGAGCGGACGCCACGATCACGGAGCACGTGAATGCCACATAGTACACGGCTTCAAACACATTGGAGCTGAAGCTCTGCAGGGCCTTGTTGATGTAGAGGAACTGCAGGAGGATGCTGACGGCGAGCGTGCACAGCAGGAAGAGGAAGAGAGGCAGAGCGCGACCCCCATCGGCCCCAAACACCTCCCCTGCCACCAGGCCCAGGCCCTTGCTGCAGGGCACGGTGAAGCTGCCCAGCAGGGAGCATATGGAGACGTACACCATGATGTTAGAGGAGCCGTGAGCCGGAGCAACAAACAGGATGAGGACGAGCAGCAGCACCACCACCAGGAGGGCGTAGCTCACAAACACTGCAGGAGAGATTATTTAGAGATTTATACAGAGGTAGGAGAAGTACTTATTTCTGCTTTTTTAAACTGCAGTATGTGCTCATGTGTTTCATTGTTGGTGTACAGGCTACCGTCTGGATATTCTGAATGATGTTTTCCTATAAATAAAACAATTCTGGTACCGCAGTATCAGGTCTAAAACCACCAGACTCAGGGACATCCCACAGGCCATAAGACTATTAAACACCTGCACTTTAAAGAACATCCATAAACATTCATCTGTTTGCATCTTCTTGCAAATGATTGATCTAATATCTCATTCCATTTACTTGTATAATAGACTCTTCTTGCACTATTTATATTTTATTTGTATTTACTTGCACTATTTTAACTGTTTTATTTGTTCTATGTCCTATATATATGTTGCACTGTTGGAGGAGCCTGTGACCTACGTTTTTCATCGACACATCTACACTGTAGCTAATGTGAAAATGACAATAAAGTCTTGAATGAAGTTTTTACATTGTTCTGTTGTCTTACATAATACACGTTAAGTAAAAACATCTTATTGATATTTATTTTCTATTGGATTGATTTGAGTGTCTCACCTGGGTCTGCCAGCCTCTCCTCCAGCTGCTCTCTGGAGGTCACAGTCTCGGCTTTAGGGGCGTGGATGATGAGCACCACGGAGCCACAGCAGCATAAAACACAGCCCAGCTTCCCCAGAATGTTTAGATGCTCCTTCAGGATCCACGAGGCCAGCACAGCCCTGCAGGAGCACACAACATCTTCATAACAAAGTCAAAGAAGCTTTATTTATGATCAAAAACATAGTCAATGTGCCAGCAGAAAATAAGAAAGAGTCTCTCTCTTACCCAAATAACACTCCCAGGGCTCCCAGAGGTGTGACGATCACAGCGGGGGCCACGTTATACGCCAGGAAATTCCCAATCTGACCAACAATCACTGATGAGAGACATACACAGGTGTGTCAAAAACATGACAAACGTGTTGCCCTATATCCTCTAGCAGAGCTGCAAAGTAATTAAGTACATTTACTAAAGAAATGTATCTTAATATTTTTGAGTTTTTTCTGCATGAGTAATTTACTCCTAATACTTCAAGTACACTTTCCTATTTGTATTTTAAATACTTTTACTTAAGTACCATTCTCCACCACTGTCCTCTAGTGTCAACAGGTGGGGCTATAATAAGATAACATAATGCTTTATTTTTTCCCGTCACAGCGGCATAGATAAGACATAATGAATATAATCAGCTCTTAAATCAGACTTTAGTTCCACCTGGATTAAATTCACAAGCTACCCTGCAGTATACAAAGTCATTCAAACTAGCTGCACCTTTACCAGCTTTGATGATCAATAATTATAAAACATATCATATATATTATTCTTAAATGGACCAATCTGCATAATGACTACTTTTACTTTTTGTACTTTAAGTATATTTTGATGCTGATACTTTTGCACTTTTACTCGAGTAACATTTTGAATACAGGACTTTTACTTGAAACAGAGTATTCCTACACTCTGGTTGGTACAAGACCAGAGTACTTCTCCCGGCCACCTCTGGTTATGAAGGATACATATCTGTATCGAGTATATACTCACTGGCCAGAGTGCCCCCCCACCACACCACATCTGTGAGGTACGACCCCCCTGAGGAAAACACAGAAACACGTTTTATGAACAGACTTTATGGTGTTATTTTCATACAGAAAGCTAGATATGTATGCATTTTCATACAGAAAGCTAATTATCAGCTTCATTATACCTCTGTCTCTGGAGCGTAATATCCCCTTCTTCTGCAGCACAAAGGTGGAGCCATTGATGAAACTCGACACCACTGCTATCAGTATTCCAGAGACAGGAAGAGAAACACCGCTCTGATCCGAGTCTGGAGACATCATTCACTTTTATGTACTTTATTCTAACATTAACTGAGGAATGACTGAAGCTCCTCTCCACGGGTTAGGAGTTTGGACCCGGAAGCATGTGCAGTTGCTCAAGGACCCCGTTTCACTTCTCTTATTTTTCATTTCCTCGCTCCTCGGTCTCGGTCTCACCGGAAGTTGATTTGTCTGCGCCATTTTGAGTAACGTCCCTTATTTTTGCCGGAGGACCGAGGATCGAGGAGCGAGGAGCGATAATAGAGGAGCTATAATCGAGGAACCACCAGACCATCCTTCGATGAAATCCTCAGAGACTCGCCCCGCCCCCTTACTGTGTATCGCTCACTGATTGGACGGTGCAGCGCATGCACTGATCTGATGCTTCTTGACATGAGAGCAGAGTTTCCCAGCGGAGTGAAGAAAACACATGAAACTCACGGGACTCACTCCTCAGTTTATACCAGTGGCGTCGCCTGGCCTGGGCATCCGGGGCTTTAGCCCCGAATGTTTTTTCTGTAGCCCCGGACAATTGTCCCTCAATAATATAATACATTAACCGTGCTTTACGTGAACCTCATCATGACACAAGAGAGGACGGCAGCACTGTAATTTCCCGTGTTCAGTGAATGCAACAGAGGCATGACACCAGACCAATCAGAGAGTTGCATGGAAATAAATGTGTGCTTGTGTCATTCAAGCTCGGCTCTGTGTGTGTGTGGCAATAGCGCATTTAGTGTGATTGAGAGGGAGGGAGGGACCGGTGCCAGCATGGACCGTGTTGTTAGCATCTGGTTAGCTAGCTGCACTAACGGACATAAGGAGCTGTTTGTTCCACAAGAAGCTGGAGGAGAGTCCTCTCCTCTCAGACTGAGAGACTCAGGTGAGCTAAAGGACTCTCTGAGTGTTTAGATAGTTAACTTTAGTCTAAGTTATCTCAGTGGGTCTCAAACGGTTTGGTCACAAATTATTCAAAAGATTATTTCCGCGGCACACCTTCATATGATCATTATAGTTATAAAAAAAATAAGAGAATAAAGGAAAAACAGTTATGAAATACTATATGGTAGTAAAACAAGAATAGAGTTTAAAAGGGGAGTGATTAGTAAAGTATCCATAAAGAAAAATCTGTTTACAGTTCTGCTTCATATGGGTGTTGAGAGAGGTATCCATAGATCTCTTCATTTTGCTCTCAAAGTGCACCAGATTGATGCATTTAACTTCAATATTTAAAAAAAAATCTTCCCGGGGGAGCATCCCCCCGGACCCCCCTAGAGGAGGTGAGGACCCCACTCATAAAAAATACCACTTTACCCCTGCCTATATGCCGTGAGCTGATTATCGAGCCTTCATTGTAAGTCGCGGGTGTACTGTGTGTGTGCGTGTGGGGAGTGTTGCAGTGAAAAATGCCACTGTAGTGCCGCCGCCACTGTGGGCTAAGCCCCGAATGTTTTCAGGTCCAGGCGACGCCCCTGGTTTATACTGTGTTTTGTTTCAATTAATGCATCATTTAGTTACAAATATGTGATATATCTGAACAACAAAGTGGACAAAAATCATTTCATTCATTTATTGGAAACATTTTCGTAATCGCTTTTTTCGTTTTACATTTTCATTTATTGTCATTTCCATTCAGTCAGTCATTAAGTGCTATTTAACATGTTAATTTGCTACATATCCACACAAAGTGTGCAATCCAGTTAATGTTAATCTAACTGGGTTTTGATAGATAACATATCTCTTTTTCTTCTCACAATTATTTTATTTATATTGTGCACTGTAATCAATATTAACCAAACTAATAGTTCGTTTATACATTTTAAGAATGGCGTTTATGTTTTTTGTGAATTAGTTCTTATTTTATTTTATTTATTTGGGTCTACAACAGATGATACACATGTTTGTGTAAATGTGTACTAACAGAGGCGGGGGTGTGTGTGAAAATAACGGGGACAGAGCTGGCTGCTGTCAGACGATCAGCTGTGCAGCGTCATCACAAACGGACGTCGCTTCACGTGACGCTCCGGAGGAAAGGACGTCCCATTGCCCTTAAAACTCATTTCCCTGCTTCTCGTGGTTTCCTTGCGTCTCTCCATGCTTCCCTGGTGGGAGGGACTAGTCACAGGGAAACGACGCAAGTGAGGGACGCAAGGAATCCTCCTTCTTCTTCTTCTTCTTCTTCTTCTTCTTCTTCTTCTTCTTCTCTTTAATGGCGAATCGCTTCCACTTGGAGCATATATCGCCACCTACTGTTGGTTTATTAAATGTTTATACTAAATCCTTGTCCTCAGACCAGTGCTTTTGAGGAATTTGAAGATCAACTTGTTTGCTTCATTTCTTGATTTACTTTCATATATTGACTTGAAATCCATGTCCTTGATGTTGAGTTGTTCCAGTGCAGTTTTCAGAATGAGTCTTTGTCTGTTATAATCCGGGCAGCTAAAAAATACATGATGTATTGTCTCTGGTTGTTGGCAACCATCACAATTGCCATTTGGATGTTTTCCAATCAGATGCAGTGATGAGTTTAATCCAGAGTGACCCACTTTTATCCTGCTGTTAATGCTCTGTTCTCTTCTACTACTCCCCCAAGTGCTTCCCGTTCCTACTTCCCTTTGTATCTGGTATAAATGTCTTCCTTTGGTGTTACTGTCCCATAGTTTTTGCCATTGTTGCTTGATAACAACTTTTGTAACAGATTTGACTTCTGCTCTACTGATGGGTACCATAATATCAATCTGGTTTGCTTTCAAACCACATTTTGCCAGTTGATCCACTACCTCATTCCCTCTAATACCCACATGCGCTGGAACCCACACAAATTGAACAACAATTCCCAGATGAACTAACCTAAACATGATGTGTAAAATTTCATGTAAAATATCCTGTCGACATTCTGAAGAGAAGTTGTTTATACTCTCCAGAGCTGCACTGGAGTCAGAGCAAATGACCACTCGCATTGGCTGTATTTCCTCTACCCACTGAAGTGCTAGTGAGATAGCCATCATCTCTACTGTATATACTGCGATATGATCACTCGTCCGCTTTCCCACTTTTACTTTTAATTCAGGAACATAAAATGCACAACTAGTTTGACCATTTTCTGGATTTTTGGATCCATCAGTAAATATTTGTATAAACTGCCCATATTGTTCATGTAGAACAGTATTCACATAAGCCTGTACATTAATTTTGTTTTTCATTGAATGTAACCTTTTCAATAAAGATAAATCTACTATAGGTTGAGGTAGCAACCATGGTGGAACAGCTGATAACAACACCGTCGGACTAATATTCCATTCTTTAACTTTGAATTCCTTACATAATTCCGAAACACAAACACAAAAACTTTCTTTTTTCATTTTGTTACTTTCCCAACTTGTTTTTACAGTTTGTTTAGTAGGGTGAGTATCTTTATGGCCCTGTAGATTTGCCCAGTAATTAACAATTAACTGTTTTCTCCTCAAAAAAATTGGTATTTCTCCGACCTCTACCTGAAGTGCCGACACTGGTGTAGATCTGACTGCCCCACAGCATATACTTAGTGCTTGTGCCTGGACTCTATCTAATTTTTGAAGAGAAGAGTATGCAGCTGAACCATACACTATGAGTCCGTATTCTATGGCTGATCTAATTAATGCTGTGTATACGTTCCTCAAAGCAGCTTTATCAGCCCCCCACTTAGTACCTGCCAAGCACCTCATAACATTTAAAACCCTTTTACATTTATCTACTACTTTATCAATGTGAGTACTCCATGTGACTCTCTCGTCCAACCATATTCCCAGAAATTTAAATGTCTTCACTTTCTTTTCTTTAAAGTTTTAACCTAACCTCCTCACCTATCCTTTTCCTCGTAAAAAATAAAGTTTCAGTTTTTTCCACCGACAATCTAAACCCCCATGTCAGAGACCAGCTTTCAATTTCCGTAATGGCTTCCTGAATCTTACCTACAATATAATTTACATTTCTGCCCCTTTTCCAAATAGCTCCATCATCTGCAAAAAGTGACTTACAGATCCTACTTGTGTATATATATATCATTTATCATGATAGAAAACAAAAGAGGACTAATTACACTCCCCTGTGGGGTTCCATTTTCAACTTCATGCCTTCGAGAATAAGAATTGCCAACTCGGACTCTGATGGCACAGCCAAACAAAAAATCCATAATCCAATTATATACATTACCTCCCAGACCCATAATGTCCAGTTTTATTAATAATCCTTCCTTCCACATCATATCGTAAGCTTTTTCCACATCAAAGAATACAGCTACAACACACTCCTTATTCGCTTGGGCTTTCCTAACTTCAGATTCCAGGCACAGCAGGGGGTCTAAAGTACTCCGCCCTCTTCTAAACCCACTCTGATAAGGAGTCATTAGTTCATTTTTCTCAACGTAGTATGTCAGCCTTTCTGTTATCATTCTTTCCATAACTTTACACAAGTGCGATGTCAGAGCTATAGGTCTATAACTGCCTGGACTAGTTGGATCTTTCCCAGGTTTTCTAATAGGAATAATGACAGACTCTTTCCATATTATTGGCAGCTTCCCTTTCTCCCCAAATCTTATTATACATCTCCAACAGCTTTCCTAATGCAAAATCACTTAATTTGGTCAACATTATATAACATACATTATCTTTCCCAGGAGCAGTCATTTTACACTTACTTAATGCTATTCTCAACTCTTGAATAGAAAAAGGTACATTTACAACACTCTGCGACGAATGTCTTTCTTCATATACATTAGGATGCTCATCTAACACTTCCTGCCTCCTGATCTTACCTTCTTCTGTCAAATTTTCCGAAGAATGAACTTTGACAAAATTTGTAGCTAGAATTTCTGCCTTCTCCATAGCACCAGTGGCAATTTCCCCTCCATTCTCTAACACTGGCAGGCTACTCTGCTGTCTAATTCCCCTCATCTTCTTAATCATTCCCCATACTTTATCTAATGGCGTAGTTCTCCCAATACTTGAACAGAATCCTCTCCAACACTCCCTTTTTGCTGTTTTAACAATTTTCCTTACCTGAGCCTGTGCCTTCTTATATTCTAATAAATTGTGTAATGAATGTGTCTTTCTTAGCTTTCCAAACAGCCTGATTTTGTTTCGGATTGCATCATTACATTCTTTGTTCCACCACGGTACCATCTTAACACATTTACTAAGTTTACCAGTTTTATTCCCAATAGATTGATTAGCGCTTTTAATTATAT